GTGTAGCATCGGGCAGAATATAAAAAAGCAAAAAAAAAAAAAAAAAAATCGAAACAAATTTCAGGTCGAGAAATCGATGGCGAAGATTCTGTGTGCTGGTGGTGTAAAAAGTGCCCTTGAATAGCACAGATGGTAAATCAAACAATCGAATTCAATTATTTCGTTAATTTGAGTAGATAACAGGTCGTATGCGCAATATAAGCTGGCAATCCATAACGAAATAAAAATTTGATGGATGGCCACTTTTCGCGGAAAATAGAATAGGCTTTCTTCTGCTAAAAATAATTATTTAGCCGTGAATATTTTCTTAATTTCAAAGAAATCTTCCTTAGAAAAAAAAAAATATTTATAAAAAGTAAAGTTGGTGTTTATCTACAAGGTAGGATTATTTTAATAAGTGGTCCATAAAACGAGGCAAAAATTGTTTAAAATCAAATGCTTATTATTCGATTTTCGGTCAAAAGATTTCTTAATTAATGACTGTTTATGTTTTGGTTATACACAAAAGATGAAAGACTTAATTGTTTATGGATGTTTATGTTATTGCAAATGTCTAAGAAAAAGTTGAAAAACATTTATTTTCTAAATTTCAATTGATTTTGACAAGCAATTTTTATCACATTTTAGATGATAATAATCTATCTTTAATCTTAAGCACAAATCCTTTAAGATTATTGACTCTTGAATTTGGTAATTGTATTTGGTATTTGACATTTGCCACGCCAAATGGAAAGCCCATCCATCATGCTGGCCATTGCAATTTCCTTGGGTAAATTCCCACCATGCCATTGACCAGTTGACACAAATTGCGGGCGTTAATTTTCACCATTAGCCAGGGACCAAAATGGCAATGATGTCCGACAGTTTGTCAACTTCGATTTGTCCCTGATTTTCTATGCAAATTTCCCTTCCATCGATAACGGCTATAATCAATATGGCAAACAGCTTGTTGTCTTGGCCAACAGGAAAATAGAAAAAAAACAAAAAAAATAAATAAATAAAGAGAAAGGGAGCGAGAGAGAGAGCGAGAAAAAACATAGAAAATGAATGTCAATGATTGATTGAACTTGTCACCAAGTGGCTCTTATCAACGCATTCATATTGCTATTTAATTGCAAAACTTTTCAAATGATTTGAGGTTAGACAGGCGCTGTGTGAATTCTGTGGTTTCACAAATCTAATATATATATATATATATATATATATTGAGTGAGAGAGAGAGAAAAGCGTAGCTGAAATGAAATTCCACTGGTGGTGTGCTTGATAATCTGAGATAAGTGAAAGTAGAAAAGTCGGGCGAATAAGCCAAGGCAAGCTTTAAAATAAGTGCAAATTGAAATATTACGTATACGCACAATTGCGCAAACACAGTACTTGGTAATGGTGAGCAAGAAAATTGGGAAATTCTTTAAAGAATTCCTTGGAATTTAAGAATACTCTTTGAAAAATTGCAAGGAAAAAGAAAATTTTGTAAAATAATAAATATTACGTATACGTCCCATAAAATTATGTATAAAATAAGTCCCTTTTTTTTTTCTAATTAAAGACATTGAAAGTCATTAATTCTTACAAAAGCCACGATTAATTAATACAAATGAAATTTCTCTAGTTAAGAGTCTTCCCCTATTAAAATGTCACCCCAAAAAACGGGTTCTCAGGGTCCATATAAACCCAAGAATAAAAGCTTAGCATTCCTCTGAGAGTATTTTAAGTCGCCCCCGTCATGTTGACAAAGATTATGTGACAATAAGCTTAGATAATTCATTTGCTACGAGGAGCACATAAAGCAGCCTCACCAACACACAGCATATCTGTTTACAAGAGGGGGAAAAGCGGCGAAGCGGTGGGTAGAGGTGGAGGGTAAATGGGCACTGAACAGAAGCAGCTGTCAATTGTGTAAATATTTTGTGGCAAAAGTACAAATAGAAATGTCGTCGATAAATCGAAGCACATGACTAGCCTTGCATTAACAGCTGCGACTTGTATCTGTGTTTGTGTTTCAATGTAATATGTGGGGGAGAAAGTGACAAAATTGGGGTGGCATTTAACTTGAAGAGAATGGAGTTGCTACTTAGATATGGCTGTCAATTACAATTCAATCATTTGGAATTCGCTCCGCTTGAGAATGGTTCTAAATGAACCATCAAAATGGCGGGGTTTGTCATCAGCGAACATAGTTTAAGGAAGGAATATTGTAATCAGTAGATCAGGGATAAAGATTGGGATTGACCGATAAGTAAATGATGTACGCAAAAAATGTGGTTAAGCTATGTGAAGACTTTCTAAGAAATGGAGTAGATACAAAGTAGAAAATTAGGTAAAAATCAGTTATAATCATTGGCCTTCTAGTAAAAAATCCAATAAGTTCACCGATTCCAATATTCATCTTCTATATATTTAGTAACTACATATAATGACAGTGATTTACTCATTTGGAAAGCATTTTCATCCAACAGCAAAGAAATAAATAGCTCGCTGTTATATTTGCCTTGGAAATGTGTCTAATAAAAGCCAAGAAATGCACGCACAGAGAAGTTTGAATCGAACATTTCGACTTATTCCCATTTAAATGTAAATTGGAGACACATGTGCTGGCATTTGGGGTCATAGTATTTCTTTCACTCATTCTATTCTTTCCTTTTTTTTTTGATTCAACAATTTTCCTATGCGGTTTTTTTCGTTTTGCAGAAATTGGGTTTTTACTTTCTATCAAATTTGTCTTAATTTGCCCATCAGTTTGAACTGCTTTTTCTTTATTTTTAAGCTTAGGGAAATTTATTTCAACAGTGATGCTCTGCCAATCTAATATATATGGATAGATATAGCTATAGCTCTGTAGGAAAACCAATCTAATCGATCTAATCGTCAAGATTTTTATGGTTTTTTTTTCTTCTGAATAAGGTAAATAAATTCCGTTGAACTTGCCAGTCGCAATGTCGCCAGGGAATAGTCATACGTCAATCAGTTTTTGATCGAACTACAGTGGCCACCCGGTTATGTCACACGGCCGTATAAAACTCTTCACCCGATTCCCTGGGTGTTATCTACTATGTGTATTGTATAATTTTTTTTTTTTTTTATACATTTTTGGGGCTTGTAGAGCTCTTGTCCCCGGGATACTAGCTACTTCAGGCCTTAAGTCGTCGGGTCTCTATCGCATTGGGTGACTTATCTTATCGACTGGCCAGCGACCACCCCCATCCATCCACCGAACCGCCTATCCATTATGAAACATTTCGCATTTCTGTTTAGTGATTAATTTTTAAATAAAATAGCACAGCTGCGAAGTAATGGCGGATTTAAAAATAAGCCACGCCACTCAGCACTTGAGATATTTAAAATATAAGCGATTCGAATACACAGCTACCGCTTAAAGTAATGATCTAAAAGTGATCATTAATTCAAAAAAGGGTTGGAAACAGTAAGTAAATCATTTTCATAAGATGATTTTTCGACAATATTTATAATCAATTCCCTTCCGTTGGTTAACTTTTGGCTAGCACTGTGTCGCGCACAACCATAGACCATCTTCATCATCGTCAGAATGACAAACAGATGCTGCTGATGCATTTCCCAGATAGGCCTAAGCGGGGCAGGCAATGATGCGATTGCCGTTTTCACAAGGGGCGTGACAGCGGAATGGCATGCCTCAAGTGCTCCTCGTCTAGTGGCATATTCATCTGAGTGGATCCGTTCAAATAAGCATAGGCATGTATGTACGTATTTTCGGGCAATTAAAATTGAGTCTGGCATTTTGGCCCATAGGCAGAGATGGTCATTAATATTGATATTGGCTTAATGTTTAATTAAACTGCATCTGAGAAACAAAGGAATTTTAAGGATTCGTCAAATACTTAAGAAAATTGAACAAAAGTTAATTACTGCCTTTGAGTATTCGCTTTAACAATGTTGGTAATAAATATTACTGAAATTGACCATGAATAATGTTTGATTTAAGCTTTAATTCTCTATTAAATTAATTGTATATCATTTGCTAAGCTTGGCGAGTTTAACAAATTATTCAGGCATATATATAATATATATTCACTGAATTTTATCCCATTAATTTGTTTAATGGGTTGTACCCCATATTTCATATATAGGGAGAGGCAATTAAGGATACCAATGATTATTGTATATAAATAATTATAGAAACCGGAAAGGCAATAACTCAGTCTTTCATTAAGTTTTGCAATCCTTTACATTTCCAGCAACCCTTGACTATAACATGTTCAAAAATTCCCCCCCCCCTCAGCAAATGTTATCAAAATCTCTGCAATTAATTAAAAATAATTGTGGACTAGTAAGCTGAATTAATTGCCCGAGCTTCTGTGAAAATACGCAGCGCTGAAACTAATCCAATGCAATGCATTTATTATTGCCCATTCCACAATTGAGAAAATAAATAAATAACATAAAACATCACGCTCAACAAGTTTTTGGCTTTGTGCTTGCTTTGTACAAAAAAAACAAAAAACAAAAGGGGAAAAGGATGCAGTGAATGAATCGCAACGAGAGCAACCCTAAAAAGTCAAACCATATTTAAATACGCATTGAATTCCGGGAATATTATGGCCAGAATCCAACGGAGCCTGCCAAAAACAATGCTCCCAAGGCGTTTATACAGCTGTGTTCATAATAATAAATGTTACTCTAAAAAAAAAAAGAGATATATGTGTGGACTAATAAAAGTTTTGTTATTTTTATAAATATGAAAAATTAAGTACATGGTTTCCAGTTTTAACATTTATAACTTGATTAAGGAAATATATCTTTTTTTTTTATTAAACTACACTATTATTTAAGTCACAGTTGTATTTTTCTTTTGATTCGCAAATTAAAATGCAATCGACTATATGCTATTCAAGAAAGAATATTCAACATATATATACGAGTATATAATGTACTATATCTGAGTTATCGAAGGGGAACCAAAAGTATGCGGCATTGAGGCAAGATTGTTTTTCATATGAAATATTAATTAAATAATTCCTGGTTACCTTTTGTGAAGCGGTGGGTCCTGTTTCCTTTTGGATCCTGCGGTGGTTCCTTCTTTTCTTTCTCTCTCTCACTTTTTTCTGTTTTTTGTTTTTGTTTTTTTGTTTTTGTTTTTTTTATGTTTTGTAGGGGAACTGGGCTGTAAGCCCACCGACCTGACTTACGGCACAATTTGTTTTAATTGCTTTTTAGCCTTAGCTTTTTCCTTACGTTTCTTTGGAATTTCTGGTTTTATGTATTTATCTCTGCTGCTGTGGAAATTAACGCGCAATGCAAACAAAAGGGAAAATCAGCATTTTCAATATATATTTTACACCTTTGCGGCTTTTCGTGTTTTGGTTATTTTTTTTTGGTTTTTTTTTTTTTTGTGAAAAACAGTTTTGTCTCGTCCACTGCCGTTTGGCTTTTGGTTTATTTTTAACGTGCTGTTCAGGGCCCCACCAAAAAAAAAAAAAAAAATAAATAAATAAAATACAGGAGCGGGCAGAAGAAACGGGCATATTCATCCACTCGACTGCTCAGTTTTATAAATAATTTCTGTGTTTTTCGGTTTTGTGTTCGCCGTGTTATATTGTTGCCAGCGAAATTTTAAGCCCAGATAAACATGATGATGATTATGTGTGACCCCATCATCATCATCATCATCATCTCCCCCAAAATCCTTTAGAGAATATATACATATATATATATATGCCTCAGCCAGAATCAAGATACGCGTACCAACCACATACCATTTGGTCATATACCATTTACTGCACCAGGGAATGCGTTAATTATGCGACACGAGCACTTAGACAACCGACCCACAAGCATTTCAATTTTGATGAATTCCTCTGCTGGGTGTTTTTTTTTTCGTGTTTTTCTTGTTTTTGTCTTTTGGGCGTTTTTCTATAGCTTTGGGGGCTTCTTGGCTTTTTCACTGGATTAGCATAGAAGTTTCAATTTTCGAAATTCTCTTGGCGAATTTCAGGGATAAAAAGCTCAATTTAATTGAATTAAATTTTAGCTGCCAGAAAATATCCAACTTTAAAGGAGTTTATTATTTTCATCTTTTTCTATTATTAATTTTCAAATTAAGAATAGAACTTATAATTGTCCCTTCGTAAAACAAAAGAGCATTGCAATTTCGTTCATATTGCTGATGTCTCATTTAGTTTTCTTATTTTCGGGTGGGGGCCAGAATAGAAAGACACATTTTTAAATTGCTTTGCCAGTCGTACAAAAAGTTCGTCAAAATGTGTTAATTTTCGTGGGCCATTGTATTGTTGGATTTGTTGTTGTTGCCATAGGCAGGGTCTCTCTTATATGGGCTAACGTCTAATAATTTTGATTGCTGCCAAAAATTCTTAGACAGACGGCCGCATTTCGCATTTCGTTTGGCTGACTAAGTGAGGGCAAAGTAAGTGAAAAACCATAAAAAAAAAAAAAAAAAAAAAAAAATAAATGAAAAATACAAATAAAAAAGAAACAGAAGCCCCTCAGAAGTGGGCGACTTAGTGACTGACTATATGTCTTACTATACATATATATTTATATATATATATTTACTACCCGCCTTCAGATTTCGCCCTCTTCACTTTCCGGTTCTAAATTCGACACATTTTTATAGAGTTTATGCGTTTATAACGCTAATTGCTATTGCTGTTTTGTGGACGATAGCAAGTGATATGAAAACTTTGGCTAGTAGTTTTTTTTTTTCTTTACTTTGTGTTTGCTTTGTAGCAATTGTGATTTTTTTTTTTGTTTGAGTCATCGAAAGTGTTGGTCGAATTTTTATTGGGATCAAAAAACCCGCTCTAGTTCAACCCCTCATTTGCTTGGATATTTGGGGCTAATAAGCTATTTGCAAGAAGGAAAATTTTCAATCAGATAAGAAATCTGTAGAGGAAAGAGTGCTGGAAAATTTAAAGACTATGCCGGGGCATTTTTTTCTTTGATATTAATGTGATAGGTACGAGTATATCAGTGTATTTTGCAGTTTTATTGCTGAAGTTCTTTTTCTCAAAAGATTATTGTTGCTAATTAGAATTTCATTCTCAAATATTCGCCCAAAACTATTTTTTGGAAATATGAATCATTTACGAAATATTTCACAATATTTTTTGTTCTCTTTTTATACAACCCTGCAGTTTTTCCTGTATTTTTAAAGCCAGGCTTTGTTGTGAAATCTCATTTTTCATTCCCTGCTTTTCAGTACCTGTTTTTTCCATCTACCCATCTACTCTTTGATCTTAAAATCTCCCTTGGGAAAGTCGCCTTTAGAGCTTTCCCCCCCCCCGCCCCATCACTTTTTGCCCTCTTTAGCATCATTAATCACCTGGCAGCTCTTTTTGTTTTTAAATAAACAATTGCTTATACCTTGTTGATTAATCAGCGAAACGCTTATAGAAAACCGATGATAACAATCTATAAAAGCGATTAATTTTTGTATTTTTTTTCTTTATATATTTTCATAGGCGTTATTTATGGCATTTTGTCATTTGGATATTTCTTGATCTGGCTTTGACAAACACAACGCCCCCGAACGTCTATAGTTTTATTTTCCGGAGTTACCTTTTAAGGGTTTTGTGGCGGGGGCCCTGCAACAAGTTTTATGGTTAGTTTAGTTTTTAGTCCGAGTCTCGAGAGTTCCTACGGCGATCACTTCACATCACTTCACTTTACTTAACTTAACTTAACTTAACAGTTGTGCACTTTGATTTGCCTTTTTTTTCTTTTTTCTTCTGTATAGTAGTAGTGGTAGTAATATGGCTTTGTAACTATTATTTTTCTTTTAAATTCTCAAGCACTTTGGGATGCACAACACACGAATCAAAAAAAAAAAAAATGTAACACTTGGAAAAAAAAGTTAAACGTTGAAAATGAAATCGCACTTAGGGGCACACGTGCTGATGTTGCTGCTGTGTAATGTTGATGTTGCTGGCGTTGGTGTTGCTGTTTCTGTTGCTGTTGCCGCTGTGCTGTTGCTCCTGCTCAGAGGTCTGATTTGCAACTGGCAACTGGCGATGCGATAAGCCGCTTCCGACTGGCAAATCGGTGGTTGCCTCGGCCTCAGCGACACGAATGCCCCCGCACCATCACCACCACCACCAACGTCACACACACACACACACCACTAAACGTTGAGTGGTTCGAATCGAACATGTTGCGGACCGGGAAACATAACCGATGGCCACGAGCTCCGGTGGCCAAAATTGGCAGGCAATGTGCAAAGGCAATCAAACAAATAAAACCGAATCGAAGGGGTAACACAAAGGTGGGTAATAAACAGTTTTCATTTCTAGTTAAAAAATCTATTTTTTTTTATTTATAAATAATCAATATAAGTGATATTGATTTACTCTTTTTTATAGTCAAGACTAGAAAAATATTTCTAATTTAAAATCATCAAAGTAAACTTTTTCAATGATTTCAAATTATTAAATCTAATTATCAGTCAAATATTTAACAACTTATTAGAAGTATTTAAACCATTATTTTTTTAATGGTAAAAATATTTATTTGAACAAAAATTGAAATATTTTATATATAAAATTTTTTATATCACTTTTAATCAATTTTTGTCCCACTGTGCTTGTTCAAATAGCCCGGGACCGAGCCAACATGTTGTTGGTTGGTTGCCGTTGAACTGGGCTAACATGTTGGCCAGCTGGGCCCTCGAAAAGCCTCGGAAAAGTCGGCAAACACAAGGCTAGAAATGCCGCTGAAACTGCAGTTGGAACTGCAAATGGTGATGGGACTCTCGTGATGATGATTATGGGGGATACCTTCTGCTTTTCTGGCCGAAATGATTCTCCACGGACAACGGCAGAAAACAATGGGCCTAGGACTTTGTTTTTGTTTCATTTTTGTGGAGGATGCTGGGCAACGCGGCGGTGATTAACGAAATTAGCAAACATTTATCAGCCGCTGCAGGGAAAAAGCACGATATAGAAAGGGAAAGTTTGCTTGTCATAACTTTGGGACCGCTTTCCGTTTTCAATTTTCCATAATTTTCGCAATATTCCCCGCTTTATGCAGTTAAAGTTCCTAAGTCAATTTTTTCATTTTTTTTTTGTTCCAGCATTCGAAATTGTTTGCCTCCTTGTGTTGGCTCTCTTTTTTACTTTTTCATTTCATTTCTTTTATTTCCATTCGAATTGGGTTTGTGCAAGTGTTTCGCTTTGTTTAATGGCAATTAACTTGGCCAGTTGGTCAAAGTTTCGTAATGAACTTAAGTTAACTCGAGCGATTATGCAAGATTATGATGATACTTAAAAATTATTTTATACTTATTTGGAACACGGCATTTAAAAATTTAAATTTAACATCTTTTTTCATTCTCCCAAAAAAAAAAAAAAACATTTTTCTTTATTTAAAGCCCCACCCCAGCTCGCTTACTAAAATAAATATTGGCAAAACATGAATATAGGTGGCTAAAATGCCAAAAATGTATCTCTATCTTCTGAGTTAAACATCTTGCAGCATGGATCTGTTTTATATGCATAACATGCCTCATCTTCATCGACTGCAATTGCACTCCATTTGATTGGCTTTGTTATGTTTCATACACAAAAAGAAGTACATCCCCTTCAATGCCCTTACATTTCCTTACATTTTTGCTGCCACAGCAAAAGTGAACAAATTTTTTTTTTGCTATAACTGCTTCACTATGATATATATAGTATATAAATATGTGTTATATTCACCGCCATTCCCTTTAATCCACATAATAGTTAACATCAGTAAGGGCGGCGTTAGAAAATGCCAGCTTAATTGATTGAACATGTCGAGCAGGGACCTTTAACCTCATCCCTGCCTATTATTTGCCTGCTTTGCATCCCTTGCTGCCTTCAATTATTAAAGGACTGACAATTCTGCGGTGCATGTGGGACATTTAACATTGGGAAAAAAAAAACAAAGAAAAGCTCCGTGGAAAAATTCAAAGTCCCTAATGAACACTGGTCAGAAATTCATTGGGACCGGGAACACATTTCCCATAATAAATTTCCACTGTTTTTCGTTCTATGTTTTGGCTTTTTAAGCACATTTGATTTGCTTTAGTTTAAAGGTGGACTTTTTAAAATTCCCCACAAAAAACACGCACACTTTAAAACTAATAGAAAACGTTTGTTTTATTTTCTTGAGCTTAACTGTGTGTGTGTTTTTTAAGGGAATTGTTTTTGTATACTTGAATTGATTTTCTTAGATATTTATCTATGTTAGTTTGTAATAAAAGAAAATGTTCTGATAATGATAGGAAAATCATAAACATTTTTATTACAAAATCTGCAACAGTTTTGCAAAAACTTTTTGTAACATATCTACCCCTAGTATATGTTAATTTTTTCAGAAGTTTTCATTAGAATAGTTTTTAAAAACCAAATTTCAATCACCATATCACAACAGTGATTTTGTTTACCCACTTGTGGCAAATATTCTTAATATTTTTCTACTTACGATTCATAGACTGCATTAAGGATATTAATATACTGTCAAAACAATGGGTAAAACTCACCTGAAAAGAAAAGGAAAGAGAAAAGAAAATAATGGTTATTAATTCAACTGGCGGAGGTATAAAGCGCAGTCAAGAATTTCCCAAGAAATTCATATGGAATTCGAAAAAAATATTTGCTCGACTTCCAGACTTCATTACGTATGTAAAGGTGAGGACAAACAAATAACAATTGCTGATAATTGAGTCATGAATGCGAATATTTGTATTTATAAATACATAAAAAAAATGCCTGTCTTGCACCTGCGTAACTTGAAAGGTTTTTTGTGTTTAGCAATTTTTCATTTAAAATGTCATTTGACATTTTCAGAATAATAATTAAAAATAAAGTATCAGAGTTCAGACTTCTATGAATTTGTTTTAAATATAAAATCTTATTTAATTAAAATGTATTTTTACATTTAATGGAGATGAGTTCCTTGCTGAATTTTCACCCTCTAAATGTATACATTTCTTTCCACCAACAGCATCTACAATTTCAAGTAGTTAGCGCAACGGAAACTTCTTTTTTTTAAGGAAAAAACTTCCTCATTTTTATTCAGAATGCAGGCTTACTGCGTTGATTTTTGTTTAATTGTTCTTCTTCCGATTAAAATTAACCAAGAACATCTGCAATATCCGGCTGTTAAAGGTGGATAAACTTTTTCCCAGTATTTATCCCGCATCCTGCATCTCAGTTAAGTTCAACTTGAACTTGATTTTGTAAAATTAGTCTGGGAATGAGGCCAGACCTTTGACTTATTCCGCATCTCAAACCACAATATCCTGTTCTAGCTAAGTTACCTGGCAGCTGACAACCGCAGAGCTCACTGTCCACTCAAAAAGTGAGCACAAACGGAGTAAAATATCCCACACTTCCTCTTCCTGTGGGTAACCTTTGGTCGAGACCGAGTGCAAAATGTACACAGCAGTTCACAAAATATTAGCACTGGATTAAGATATATATAAATATTTATAGCAAGAAAGCATTCTCATATTATTTAAATTGGCATTGTAATTAAAATGTTTTTGGCATTTTAAGAAGAAATATTTTAGTATTTGAAGGAATAAAGATGTCTTATGTAAGTATTAAGAAAATGCAGACATGTTTTAAAACTCTCTTTTTAAGCCTTCAAATAATGTAAGATTTTAATTACCTTTTTTTCCATAACTGGCCAAGCACAAGGCTTAGAAACTTCACAAAGATATTAAGAGATATAAAATCATATTTTAAATGATATATTTTTTACCAATAACATATTATACTTCTCTAACACTACCAATTTGAACATATTTGTTTTATAGTTAGCCAGCAAGATTCTATTTTCCTGACAGGCAGCTTGGTCGAAGGTCAAGAAAGGAAGAACCTCAGAGGTCTTTTGATATGTCTTATTTGCAACATGCAATGCCAAGTGCAGCGAATGTTGTGTTGACCTTGAATGCTTAGCAAATGTCAAGGGCAACTTCCTTGGGATTCCCGACAATCGCCACGGGATCACAGGATTTATTTTCCCTTTTATTTTTAATCTAAGAGCTTTGAAAGCCCTAATGTTTTCTTTTGTAACTATCGGGTTGTATTATTAGCTACAAAAGTCTATATGGTAAGAATATCTGACTATGGTCAAAGCTTATCAGTGGTGAAAGTTATGTTTTTAATATGGTGAATATGAGTTCCTACAACCATTATTAAACTTGAAAGCACACTTAATGCTGGGTTGCTTTTATAGAGCTTTTTTTTTGTTCTATATATTTAAGCTTACACATGGCGTATACTTAATATATAAATTCAATTATTGCGCGCGAAAGAGTTTAAATGTTATTAAAAGATTAGAAAATGGAGGTAATTTATACATTTATTATGATTGTATTAAAAAATATATTGGAAATATTATTATTAAATATTAATTTAAAAACAAATTTGTAGATTTCTCTTTGCATGTAATTTATAAAATTATATTTTTATAATTATAATTATTTTTTTAAAATGAATATTATAATTTTATTACTCAAAAATTTTAAAAGCATGTGGTTATTAAAAAATAGTGGTTAATGTATTTATGTTTATATTTTAAAATTTATTTAGTAAATATTTCTAAGCCCAAAGAACTCAAAAATTTTTTAGTTTTAACCAAAGTAGTTTTCCAAACTGTGCAAAAAAAACACATGTTTTTAAACAGTTTATAACTCAACTAAAATTACAAAACTTCTTGACTTTTCCCTTTACAAATTCTTAGCAGAGCAGGTAGCCTGTTTTTAACCTTTTCTATTGCCAAAAAATAAAAAACCAATATTTAAGCCGTGTTCGTGTATCGATTAATTGTATGTTATTTCGGGATGGCCAGGCTGGAAACCCCACCCTCTATCGGTTATAAATAATATTAACCAAACACTCAACGAACCGCCCACGTTTAGCTGTAGTTCAATGACTAGCAACAACGGAGCTCAACTCAGGCGTGAATTATTGTGAGAGAAACCCCATTCCCAAACGCAATCTCAATACCAATTCAAACCCCATAACCCCCCTATAATGTCACAAAAGAGTTGGATAATGCATACTTAAGAGGGGTTGAAGGGGCTTTGAAAAGGGTTTGAAGAAAGGGTTGTGTGTGTGCGCGCAACAGTTGATTGCCATCAGTGCAGATTATTATGTAAATCAAATTGTCCAAGAAGAATTTGCCTAAAATGGGGCACACAATTATGGAAGCAATTAAAATGGTTCGCAAATATATGCACATATATATATATAGATATATGAATGTGCGCAATCGGTGGCTGTTTGGCAAAAGGCCAAGTCATTATTTATTTTCAAATCATTGCCTCCTAATTGACATAATTCGCACGAATGCGAATGGGAAATGTCGAAAGTCATTGGAAAACTGACCCATGTAAAAAGAATGGAAATATTTTTTTAAATTGAAAACAATTTTAGTTTTTCAAGAAAATGTTTACATTTTTTTGATTGAAAACATTTAATTTTTAAGTTTTAAATGAAACTTTAAACTTTTGTTTCAAATTTTCTTTAAATTTCGCATAAAATGATTGAGCTGGGAGTCACCTCAAGGCTTTTCCTGTGATAAATTAATACACCGTTTTCCACTCACTCGTTCACTCACACACATACACACAAAACACACAAGCACTCTTATGGACAGGTGCGTACAGTTAAAGAAATCAATCGATATCCCCATAACATAAAAAATGTTATCTAAAATTTCTACAAAACTAAATTTCAAACAAAAATTTTTTGTCAATAATTTCTTTTTAGACAACTTTTTTATATGCGAAGATTTGATTTCTTTTTTAGTAAAATAAAAAAAACCTTTTATTTTAATACCATAAAATTGTAAGAAAAAGTGAAAAATTTCTATTTTCTTCAGTTGAGAAAGTTGGAAATTTGCTTCGTGTAACGTTGGCTGCATTGTCAGCAAGTTCATTTCCGCTGTGGCCACACAAAATGGCGTGCAAAATGCAAAAACAATGGACGCGAAAGAGAGGTACTGCGCAGCGGCCGGAATGAGAGGGCGATAGGTGCTCTCGTTGATGGGCAGGCAACATTAACGCACGCGATGTGGATGTGGGTTCTATGGGATCTGTAGGATTGTCAGCATTCATGGGGACTTTGGACAACGACAATTGCATGTGTAATTTGTGTTTAGTGGGCTGGAAAGTAAAGTACCTCCCACAGCCCTTTAAGTGGGCCGAACAAAGATTTTCAGGTGCAACTCCGGACTCAGAAGCAGAAATGTCGGGCTATTCGCACAATAAAGCAGACAATGTATAAAGCTCTTCAGCGGAATTCAGACACTAAAAGCAGGATGCTTTCATTAAAGTTGACTTTAAAAATTCGCTTTCTTGTTTTTTGGATTACGGAGAAAACAAAGTTTTTTAAGAGTTTCTTTTCGAAAATGGTTAAATTTTTACATTTTCAACTTTGAATACAATTAAGATAGGAATTAAAAAACAAACTCAATGGGGTATTACATTCCACATTTGGACCATTATTGGCTTAGCTTTGAACATAATACTTTCATTCTGAGGGGAACATCGGGATAATCAGATTTACATTTTTATTTAAACAAAATTTATTAAAATACAAAAAAAAAAACATTATGGAACTAATTCATCATGTTAATGCCATTTTTTAGATCCAATTTTCTATATTTTTAGCAACCACATTTCTTCGGCTGTGATCGCTGAGATTTTTGATGACTTTCACATGATTTTGGCTGGGTTTTCTGTGGGCTCTTATTACATGGTTTCGGATTAGGTTGGGATTTACATTTTGGTTCAGCATTACACTTGGGTACGGGTTTAGGTTCCGACTTGCACTTAGGTTCTGGTTTAGGTTTGGTTTGAGAATTACATTTAGGTTCCGACTTGCACTTAGGTTCTGGGTTACATTTGGGTTGAGGTTTGCACTTGGGTTGGGATTTCGGTTGGGAATTGGAGCACTTGGGAGACGTGAGACCCTTGCATCCACACCCAGGACCTCCGCCACAACCACAGCTACATCCAGCACCGCTTCCCGATCCACAGCTAGGATAATGGTGATGATGAACTATCTTTTTGGTGGGTTCCGAACGTCTGGTGGTTTTCTCGCAATGTGATCGTTTCGTAGTTTTGCCACAGTGTGGTCTTTTGGTTGTTCTTCCACGCCTTGTCGTTTTTCCGCACGGCGGTCGTTTGGTGTGTCCCGAACAGGGTGTGGTATCTGTGATATCAGTGGTTTCATCGGTAGTTTCATCGGTGGTTTCATCGGTAGTTTCATCGGTGGTTTCCTCACATGGCGGAGCCCCAGTGGAGTCCGTGGGTCCACAGGGAACTGTGGATGGAACTGTGGTTGGTACTGTGGTTGGAGCTGTTGTGGGTGTTTCGGTACTTGGTGTATCAGATGATGGTCGCCATGTGGTGCAGGTTGGTCCACAAGGAACTGTAGGTCGTTCAGTGGGTGGAGATGTTTTGCATGTTGTAGGTGTTGTTTCGCAAGTGGGTGGTGGTGTAGTGCAAGTTGGTGTTGAGGTTTCGCAAGTGGGTGGTTGAGTTTCACCGGTTGGTGGTGGTGTATCACAAGTTGGAGGTGATGTTTCGCAAGTTGGTGGTTGAGTTTCACAGGTTGGTGGTGGTGTATCGCAAGTGGGTGGTTGAGTTTCACAGGTGGGAGGTGGTGTATCGCAAGTTGGAGGTGATGTTTCGCAAGTTGGGGGTGATGTTTCGCAAGTTGGTGGTTGAGTTTCACAGGTGGGTGGTTCAGTTGGGCAAGTTGGTGGTTGAGTTGGTGGCGGCAAAGTAGAACAAGTGGGTTCACAGGAGTCTGTAGATATCGGTGGCACAGTGGTTGATCTAGTTGCTCTAGAGCTAGTTATCTTGGGTGTGGTTGTGCGAGTTGAACTTGCCGGGTTAAGCCCAACCAGCATAACCAATACACCAATTAGCAAGGCGAAGTGCATCTTCATTGTTGCATTGCTCATCGTTAAATGCTCTTTATATACCCATTGGTTCTAGACCTTGACCCACCATCTTTCAGTTTTATGTACACTCAGAAAAAATGTTCAAATACTTGATCTTATCAAAGTAATGAAAGATAATGAAATTCTATAATAATATGTAGTTAGCCACCTTTTGAGTAAAATCTTTAAATTTTTATAAAATTATTATTTTTTTTAATCAACCTTTTGATTTTTTCGATATAGTAATAACCATTTTTTTACAGTGTAGACTGATTTGGGTGCCTCGTGTGGTTCTTCCACAAATATTTACAGGATAGAAAAGTCTGTTTTCCATTTTTGGCCCGACGAGTTGACTTAAACCAACTTAATATGAACCCAGCAACTTGAGTTTACTTAGCCGCAGCTGTTCGAGCCTTGCATGTCTTAATTGCCATATTGATTATGGTTTTGTCTAGTGTTATTTGTTCTCTACATCAAGTTGTGGAAAAATTGCGTGTTCTAATTGTGTGTGCAAATCAAATGGTGTTATTTAAATCGTTTTCTATTATGGTAAAATAAAAAAATGTTTGCTTTTGTGGTTCGGCTTTCGTGTACGACTTTAAAATTACTTCCTTGGACGTGATGCTCAGATCTGCTTTCTTATATCATATATTTTCCCCCCCTAAATGCTGTCATTAAACCAGACCAATGTTTTTTTGCCAACAAATATTTTTTTCACTTTTTTTTTTCTTTTGTTTTGTTTTGACTTCATTTATTTGGCCTTCATCCGGGTAAATAAAACGGAGACTGGAGCTTTGACTATAAATGTCGACGTCGCGTTAGACGTTCCGTCACAGTTAGTTAGAAGATATTGGCGAAATGAAGTTGTCAAAGCTTATGCTTACTTTCCTTTACTTGGGGCTTTTCGTTGCCTTGGTGGTGAGTGCCGATACGGATACGGCCAGCGATTCGGATGATGACACCACTGCAGCCGCTTCCACAAACACCACAAGCACAGAGGCCGCCAGTTCCTCTGATAGTTCCAGTACCTCAGATGATGATTCCGACACCAGTTCTGATGTGGATGATGGCTCTACCGATGATTCTGATTCTGGTTCAGATTCCGATTCCGATAGTGATACTGCTACATCAGCTCCAGTTGTAAAAAAGAAGAAGAAGACCAACAGCAACAAAAAGAAGGCCAATAAGAACAAGAAGAAGGCCAGCAGCAACAAGAAGAGGGCTAGCAACAACAAGAAGAAGGCCAACAATCGCAGAAAGAGGGCGTCTAACAACAAAAAGAAGGCAACCAACAACAACAACAAGCGCAGAAACAGCAATTCCAGGAGGCGTGGATAAACATATAAAAAAAACAAACATTCTGGACATAAGGAAAATTCCAATATCAGGACAATATGCATAATAAATATCTTTTTTTTTATGATTTAATAATTGAGTGGTTGTGTATTGATGAGACACAAAAAACAGTGCATATTTTTTTTATGGAGGGGCGGAAAAAATACCAACGATTGGGATTTCCAATTCAAAGAAATTTAAAAAATGCAATCTGCATGACCAATTCATGAAGGTAAACATTAAAAATTTGTCGAAACAAGACCACGAAACTGAAGAGTGCTTAAGAACTCTGCTTTAATTTTGAACAGAAACATTTTCTTCTTGTATAGAAATACTCTGTAAATATAATATCTGGCATTTAAGTTGAAAAATTTAATACAATCCTAAAAAATCAAAACAAATATCTATTACAGACTAACAGAGAACAAAAGGCTACCCAACAATAATTTGAACACATCACAAAACATTTTCTGACACAAACAATGCTGAATGCAGACTATGCTGCAAACTAGGCAACAATATTTTTACAACAATGAGCGCACACACACATGTAGACGTAGAAGGAGAATGCCTGTCAAAATCACAACAGGTGTCGATTGACTTATCGATGGCTGGCTTTCAGGATAGACCTTTCAAACCGCCCACAATCTGCTCAATTATCCAGGCTATAATATAAGTTATTCAAGCCCAACTGACATCCAAACACACAATCACACACAGATACACAAACACACACACACACACACACATTCACGACCAAGGAAAATCAACAGCTTTTCTCCGCTGGCCAACTTCCTGCGGTGACTCAAAGTTTCTGTCACTTAAACTTTTCTAATTCGATTAAGTCGACTAACTGCAAATTGATTTCATTGTAAGTCGCTAATTGGCCGCCTTCATTGGCCTAACTTTTAAGTTGGCCCGGTTGAATTTGGTTATCCATGATGGTAGGACTTTCATGACGCATGGGTCACATCGTTGCTTTTAATACGTTAATTTCTACCAACAGTTGTGTAAACAAAAACATTGCCAAAAACAAAAATCCAATAAAACTTCATTCTCTAAATTCGCCAAAAAGTTATGTTTTGCTGCTGCTTTCGTTTTGTCAACGACCCACTTGGAGGCCGACTATTTTAAATTCCCAGAAGCTTCCAAAAAATGTCTTCATTGTACTCTGTAAGCGGCTAATTAAGAGCTTCGCAAAAATGACATTTTTATAAAAAATTAATAACCTGTCTAGTTTATAATTCGACTTTTTAATGACATTAACAGCAAATCAGTTTCACTTTTCACTCAATCAATGCATTTCAACTTTTATAAAGAATAAAGAATAGCAAACTCACCGAACATTAGCCAATGTATGACGACGGTTCTTAAGATACCGACTATGGTACTTCTGCAGATCACCGATAGAACCTTGCTCCGCCTGCATTTTGCTAGTGGGCAGCAGCTGTGAGTTGCTGGGGTGCGAGGAGGCGAGAGCGGAGGCCGACGATGAAGTCAACCGATGGTGTGCGGCAACGCTGACGCTGCTACTGTTCTGGGTATTGGTGGCAGTGCCGCCGGTGGTACTGCTGGAGGCCAAAGTCTCGTTCGAGTTGCTGCCAATGACAGTGGTTGCCGATGAGGAGCCACCCGCCGATCCAATTGGGGCAAGGACAATGCGCGACCAACAGGATTTGTGCGGCTTGCGGAACTTTAGTTTGATGCGCGGCGAAGGTGTCGAGGAGGTACCTATTATCGGTAATAGAAAATATATATATTAAAAAAATTGCTATTAAGTTTAAATATTAAAGGCACCACTACCCACCACCCTGTTAATTACCTGCAATGAACTCCTGTGTTTGCTGATTTCCGGTGGGCACTGTACCCGCCGACGACGATGTGGCCGATGAGTGGTGAACGCTCTCGCAACTACCACAATAGCCGGTGGCTATGGTGATTGGCGGCGGCTGTGGTTGCTGATCCTTCAGGCTAGACTGATGCTTAAAGTTGGCCTGCTCGGACTCCTCCTCCTCTTTGATATGCGGCAATGGTGAAGTCTGCGGCTGGCAACTGCAACGCGGTTGATTCTGATTGGGATTCGAATTGGAGTTGGCCGTTTGATTTGAATTCGGATTGGGATTTGAGTTTTGGGCCTGATTTTGGACTGAATTCTGGCCGGGATTTGTAGAGGGATTACTGCCGCTATACAGGGTTACCTGACTGAGAATATTGCCGCTGCTGGGCACTAAATTTGGTTGCGTTTGCTGTAATGGTTGCTGCTGCTGCACCACAGCGGTGGGTGAGACACTGGCGTCGCTCAAGGTTTCCGGTTCAGCGCGACGGGCTACCAGACCACTGGCCAAACTGGCTGCTGCTATATCCGCTGCACTCAGCTGTTGGTCCAGCTCCTCGTCAACGTCGTTGATGAGCGTCTTTAGGGATATCGGGGTGGTCACCGATGTATCGATGGTGTCAGCCAGGGAGTGTTTTTTTGTACCACAACCGTCGCCGCCGCCGCCGTCGCCGTAAAGATCCAGTTCCGAACCTGTACGATTCAAAAGATTGTCCTCTTTGGTATTTTTAATAGCGTTCCGCTCCTGTATATCCCGCTTTTGATCCTTGGACTTATCCAGGTTATTATCCACCGGTATGACCTTGAGCTCGTCCGGCGTCTGGGCGGGTGTTTGGGGCGGACTTGTGGCGGGGGCTGCGGAGCCGCCCCCGCGACAAGGGAGGCAACACCGAAACACTGTGCCACCGAAGCACTTTGTTCTTGTCTTTGTTTTTCTCTTGCCACTCCCACTCCCACTACCGCTGCCGCACCCACCTCCTCCGCCGCCGCCTCCGCTGCCGCTCCCACCGCCCCCTCCAACGCCGCCACTGGCTGCCAGGCCGTTGGCACTACAACTGCCACCTAACCCCTGGCCGTTTCCGGTTCCGTTGCTGCTGCTGCCGCTGTCGCGATGCTAAAATGTACAAAAAGTATATCACTTTTCTTTATATATTTAAAGAATTTTTAAAGTATTTTCCTTGGTCATAAAATAATTATTATAAAATTCAAGCTAATTCATTTTTACGAGATCTTTGGACCATGTAAAGTCCTTTCTCCTTTTCAGCCTTTTATAACCAAGAAAAAAGACTTTAAAAATTTAAATAAATAAAAAGAGCATAAGCCGAAAATAAATCCTATTTCCCCCTCATCTCATCAACCTTGGCCGCATTTTTGTTAAACGAGAAATTCTGCGTAAACCGTGCCAAACGCATCATTCCCACTGCGATTGGGAGTTATCTGTAGTGCGAAAACATTTTAATTTAAGCGGAGATCTGTAAAGAAAATAAAAGAAAGTAGTGTGTTAGAAAAAATATCAAAATATATATATTATAAGTCTTAACAATCTAAATGAATCTGATCTTAAATCTGTTTTTAGTATCGTAAATACTTATAAATAAAATTCTATAAAAATTTAGTTTGAAGTCTTATTAATTATATTATTTAATTATATTTTATTATATTACCTTACATAATTTATGTTAGCCAACTAATCTCGTTACTTTTACCATTTGCAGTTAACTTTGTAGCTTGAATTATTCGACACACACTTCTATGTCAATTAACGTTTAAACTTGCCCAACAGTTTATGTTCCTATTTTTTCTTCCCTCCCCCACCAAAAAGGCCACCATTTTTCCTTCATTTTAACTTGTTCTGCTGCCAGAAAGTATTCTACATACTTCTACCTGGTTGGCTATGCGAATGAAAGTGGGTTAGTCACATATTTGCCCACATTTGCAAGCTTTTACAGGGACAGACGGCAGCTGCACAAACTGACCCACATATCCTGGTAGCTGGCTGGCTGGCTGGCTATATGGCTGCTGTATCCACTTTGGATTCCCCTTAATTAGTTCATCGTCGGACATCGGAGGAGCCGCTGTTATTTCGAGCGTTAGATAATGGAATGGAAACTGCTGCTAATATTCCTACCCTGGCTACTCATCGCAAAGGTCTACTACAAGGTCGAGGACTTCACGGAACCGGATATCATCTATCAACAAAGCTTGGACTATCATCCCGAGGATTATATTGATTCCTTCACCGACTACCAGAAACATGACTATTTTCAGTATTGATCATAAACTTGTTTTTTGTTTTTTTTTTTAATTATGTGTTTTTGTGTGACTAATAAATATGTGTGAGCTGTGAATTTTATAAAGTTCATTCTTCTGGGCCAAAAATCTTTACAGGTTTAAATTTGTAAGAAATCCTTTTTTGACAAAACTTTGGAAAGAATTTATTTTTACAACGTTAAGGGTCAAACGAGGTGAAATGAAATTACTAGCTCAACCACTTTTGGTATTCCACATGGCATGTTAAACCATTTTTGGGTTTTTTATGGCCAAAATAGGGATTTTTAAATAAATAATTAGCGCGGACCAATTTTTCCATTTCAAAAACATCACCAAAATTGTACTTTTTGTTGGTTCAAACTCAGCGAGGTATTATACTGAACAAACCTACCATTTTTGCCTTTTTTTTTATGAGAAGAACACTTATTTTTAGGGAGTAAAATTAGGGTTGACCAAATTTCGAATTTGTAATAGGTAACATCATTAAACTTTGGGCCAAAATCGAACTTTCTAATTGTGAAAAACAAAATTACGAACTCTACGAAATATAGCGCTGCATATTTCGATCATTTTTGGCATTGTTATGGGAAAAATACAGATTATTTAAAACATAAAAACCGGATTAAAAAAAATGAAATTTTAGTATTTTTTTTCAGTAAAATTTGGTTTGTTTTCCTTTCAAGATTTTACTTTTTCAACAAAATTTTACTCTTTAAATGCAGTTTTAAGGAATTTTTTATTAAAAACTCGCAGCGAGGTATTACACACCATTTTTAGCTTTGCTATGGAAGAAAAAAATAATAATATTTACGGCTTAAAATCAGAGTAGACCGATTATATCAATTTATGGAAAGAGATTAAATAAATTAACCGAGTTAAACAAAATTTCAATTTGAATTTCGATGAGTTTGTTTGCTAAATGTGAGGCTAAAATTAAAAACAATTTCATTTAATATTTTAAAGTTAAATATAAATATTAATCAATAACTTTTTAATGTGTCAATTATAGTCGGGATATAATTATTATTTAAACAGCCTTGCGGGAAAGACCGAAATTGGTTTAGACTGGAATCTTTCCGTTAAGCCAACATCATTTTTAGCACACCATAAAGCCAAAGCATCTTTGAACAAGTGAAAGAGAAAGTTTGTGAATATTTTTTTGCATTAAATTCCAAAATTTATGCAAAATAATCTTCAAATATTTAAACAATTGACAAAAAAACAATTTGTACAATAATGGAAATATTTGAAAATGCCAGCGAAGACATGTGACCTCGAAATTAAAGTAAAACAATATTATTTAGAAAAAATTTGATAAACAAAAAATTAAATTTAGTTATTTGCTAATGCCAAATTTGAATAATAAAAAAAAATAAATGTAAACAATGCATGGCTTACTACGTTGTTTATATTCTTTATAATAATGAAGGTAAAATTGGACAGAAATTTGAGACGAATTTTAAAGCATACTTTTGTGTGCAGAATAATATAAGCCAGTCTTATATTATTTTAACATTAGTTTGAAAATTCGTGTTCTTTTTCTTATTCAGTTAAATTAAGTTAGGAATAAGTTTGCCTAATAAGTTATAAATTCTTATAATAACTTTTTTATAAAAAAAACTTGATTATTTTGCAATACGAAAGAAGCCTCTTTCACCCTTTTTTTTTATTGAGAGGAAAAAATTAATGATTTTTTAATTCAGAAACTTATTCTATAGCCAGGACTCTTCCAACCACAATCTTAGTTAACATTTATTTATTGACTTACTGGCATACGCCTTATAATATAAATTCGACTATGTTAAAATAAAATCCTTAAAATTATTGCATATTAAAAACAAGTAATTTTGGTTTGATTTTTATATATTTGTCTAATAAATAAAATTAAGAATATTTTTAAGCTTATGGGCTAAGAAAACGTTTGGATCTGGGAGAGTCATTGATTTAGCATCGGGATAGGCGTTGGTTTTCATTTGATCTGGGATTCTCTACCACCAAGAACTGCTTTCACTGCTGTCACCTTTGCGGTGCTTGCGAACTTTATGACCCCTTTTCCTCTTGATTTTCTTAACTTTCCTGGGCCGCTTTGCTTTCCTCTTGTAGTGAGTTATAGTTTCTTTCTTTGCAGCGGTTGATGCCGAAGATGCAGTGGTGGCCGAAGCTGAAGTCGTGGTGGTGGCTGAGGCAGAGGTTGTGGCGGTGGTGGCCGTGGCAGCAGTGGTGGTGGTGGTGGCTGAGGCAGAGGTGGTTGCGGGGGTGGAGGCTGCTTCCGACTGGTAGATCATCACGGAGCCTAGGAAGGCGCCGAGGAGTACGAGTACTGGAGTGATCTTCATGTTGAGGGAGGTTTGGATGCCTTGCAACTGATGCTCTCCGGTAGATCAACCTCCCCTTTTATACTACATATTTCACCTGGGTTTATCCTTATCTGCAAAATTGTGTCAGCAATTTTTTTTGTCAAACACAAAGACGTCGTTTTTTGACAAAACAAAACACAGAAAATTTCGCACATTGTTCTCTTTTGCGCAATTGTTCAAACAGCCAAGCTAGTGAAGTGCAAATATATAAGTAATTTAATTTCTTATGAAATGTGAGATTTGTGAGATTAATATGTTATGTATATATATGATTTCTGCTGATTTCGCAGTAATTATATAACTGCCAGATTTAGTATAAAAGATCGTGGCCTTCTGGTTTCATCTATCAGTTGCCCATCTACTGGCCATCTAACATGCGATACACCTGTGTCCTACTGCTCGTGACCACCGTTGCCTGTCTGCTAATCGGGCAGACAGGTGGTGCCTCTACCACTGCGACCACCTCGGCCTCGGCCACCACATCTGCCTCAGCCGCTTCGGCCGCCACAACAACCACCACTACAACCACAACCACCGAGGCCACTACTACCACAACCACTACTGCATCGTCTTCCAAAAAAAAGAAGCATAAACATAGAATTCATTATACAAGACGCCGATATGGAAGTGCCAAGGTCAGACATATACATAGGCACAGAGCCGATGGTTCTTCCACTGAAAGTAGCCGACGTCGCCGCCGCAGCAACAGTAGCAGCACCAGTAGCCGCACCAGTACCATCAACCGCAGCGACAACATTCGTAGCAGTCGCAGGAGAGCCCGTCGCTCCAGAAGACTTAAAAATTGAAGGAGAAAGAAATAAAGAACCACTAAACTGAACTTGTTATTGATCCTGATTCTGATGAATACGAAAACCTATTTTTTTTTTAGTTTTTTCTTTTAAAAACATTTAATGCAAATAAATAATATCGATATTGATTTAAAGTTGTTTTTTTTAAATGGGATGATGGCGCCTTTTTTATTGCATTAATCGTATATAAATATACGATAAATATACTGCCAATATTTTCGAAAGAAAAACATATTAAGGCCTATGTAGAATCACCGTTAAAATCAACTTTAACGTTAAATATTTTTAAGGTTTTCATGAAGGTAACCCAAAGTTGTAGGGGTGCTAGATGTATTAACGAGAAACGACGACTTCATGGTGGTGATTTTTTTATACTTATTTTTTACTTCGAGTTTTAAGTCATTTTTATAGTACACTATACAAATTCATAATTTTGTGTTGTTTCCTGAAAAGATTAACCGGAAACTGTTCTTGCGAATACCGAACATTAGCCAATTTGTTTCAATTTCTAGCAATACGTTTATAATTGAACTTTGTTAATATATTTAAGCTTTTAAGAATTGTGATTAAATCCAGAAAAAATATAATTATCTGATATTTTCAGTTATTGACTTCAGGTGTTTGCTAAACTCACAAATGAGTGCTAGCACCTGCTGGAATCATTTTAATTGGTTCAAACTACCATTATTTATTTAAGAGAATTTGTATTATACTAACTACAAAATGTAGCATACTTTTGAGAAAATCTTCTATAATCCACGGCAACATGTTTTTTTTTTAAACTGTAAGCAGCAATCTTTTCTTTAATTCTAAATAAAATTCTAAACGGTGGTCAACCAAGGCCCTTTAATGGATCTAACTAAATCGCTCTATTATCTGTACTTTAAAATAATACAGCGAAATCAAACACAAACTAATTATGGTTCCTGAGACTTTGCGCAGCTCAAGAATTAGCCTGCTTAATCCCATTTTTGAATATCTCATAGTCCCTGGGATGACATCGTTCTTACAGACAGACGGGCGGCCAGTCGGACATGGCTTAATCGACTTGGCTATTGACCCTATACATACTTTTCAGGATCGGAAACGCTTCCTTGTACCTGTTACGTACTTTATAATACAATACGAATACATTTATCCTTTTACTCTACGAGTAACTGGTTACCAATTTGCCACATTGTTTGTACAGCACTTCTTAGGCTAAAACATCTTTGAAAAACGGATGGAGTTCTTACTTCCCGTTAACTGATTTTATACATTTTTTTTTTGCATCTTTATTATATATAAATTATAAACAAACTATAACAATATTTTTTTAAGCTTATGGACTATGAAAACGTTTGAATCTGAGAGAGTCATAGAGTTATTATCGGATTAGGCGTTGGTTTTCGGTTGATCTGGAATTCTCTACCACCAAGAACTGCTTTCACTGCTGTCACCTTTGCGGTGCTTGCGAACCTTATGACCCCTTTTCCTCTTGATTTTCTTAACTTTCTTGGGCCGCTTAGTTTTCCTCTTGTAGTGAGTTATAGTTTTTGTCTTTGCAGCGGAAGATGCAGTGGTGGCCGAAGCTGAGGTCGTGGTGGTGGCTGAGGCAGAAGTTGTAGCGGTGGTGGCCGTGGCAGCAGTGGTGGTGGTGGTGGCTGAGGCAGAGGTGGTTGCGGGGGTGGAGGCTGCTTCCGACTGGTAGATCATCACGGAGCCTAGGAAGGCGCCGAGGAGTACGAGTACTGGAGTGATCTTCATGTTGAGGGAGGTTTGGATGCCTTGCAACTGATGCTATCCGGTAGATCAACCTCCCCTTTTATACAATATCATCCACCTTGTTTGTTGATTTGGTTTGCAAAACTGTGTCAGTCAAAGCAAAGAAACGGTTTTTGGGCAAACAAAAATTCGCAACTTTCTTGGGTTTTTCACAATTGTTTAAACAATAAGATTGTAAGAACAATAAGATGCTTGTGAGGTACAATAGTGTATATGAATTTTGCAGATGGTCGAGTCCTAGACTCGATAGTTATATTTTATTATTTTTCACAACCGTGAATTTACGAGAACTCCCTGCCAGCACAGGGCTTGTAGGAGGTTACACCGTGGCACGTGCTGCTCACGGATGTGTTGGTTTTGGATCGCTCCTTGCGGCAAGTTGCTGCCCACAACGACCGGTCACTTTGTTGGATGCCTCTGCAGCCGTAGAGTGATGCAGAGTGCAGATCGGGTCCAGGTGGTTGCCACGATAAATGATGATAGTGCTGATAGCGGGGTCCTAGCTTCTGCTGTTATAATAAAGGTGTAGGATATTGTGGCAGCATGTTTGTCCACAATATCCCCCGTCTGCACTGGTATTGCAGGAGGTTACGCCGTGACACGTGCTGTTCACCGATTTTTTGGTTCTGGAAAGCTCGTTGCGGCAAGTTGCTGCCCAAAACGATCGGTCACCTTTCGTACGCCTGTGCAGTGATGCAAAGTCGGACCGAGGCCGGGTGGTGGCAACGGTCGGTGACGATGGTGCTACCAACCTTCCTTTTGTAAGCTGATAGCAGGGTCTTAGCTTCAGCTATACTGTCGTGTTCTTAGCTCAGCTCACACATAAACTGTTTTGTATGTTGGTTATAGTTCCCGAGATTTCGCGAATGCAGCTCAAGAATCTGCCGCTTAATCCCAACTTTGTATATCTTATAGTCCCTGAGATAACACCGTTCTTACGGACAGACGGACGGTCTGGCTTAGTCGACTATTTTAATATTTTGATATTTTACATACTTTTTAGGGTCGGAAACGCTTTCTTTTAGCTATTACGTCCTTTTCTCTACACTAACGGGTATAACAATTTGCCACATTTTTTGTACATTAAAAGTTTATTTTGCTGGTTACTTTCAAGTTCAATCTGCAGTGAAGCCACCAAAAGGATCACAAACACTTCTTAGGCTAAAACCTCTTTAAAACTTAAGTCAGACAGTTTGACTGCCCTAACTAAATACCGATGGAGTTCTTACTTCCCGTTAACTGATTTTATACATTTTTTTTTGCATCTTTATTATATATAAATTATAAACAAACTATAACAATTTTTTAAGCTTATGGGCTATGAAAACGTTTGGATCTGGGAGAGTCATTGATTTAGCATCGGGATAGGCGTTGGTTTTCGTTTGATCTGGGATTCTCTACCACCAAGAACTGCTTTCACTGCTGTCACCTTTGCGGTGCTTGCGAACTTTATGACCCCTTTTCCTCTTGATTTTCTTAACTCTCTTGGGCCGCTTAGTTTTCCTCTTGTAGTGAGTTATAGTTTTTGTCTTTGCAGCGGAAGATGCAGTGGTGGCCGAAGCTGAGGTCGTGGTGGTGGCTGAGGCAGAGGTTGTAGCGGTGGTGGCCGAAGCAGCAGTGGTGGTTGTGGTGGCTGAGGCAGAGGTGGTTGCGGGGGTGGAGGCTGCTTCCGACTGGTAGATCATCACGGAGCCTAGGAAGGCGCCGAGGAGTAGGAGTACTGGAGTGATCTTCATGTTGAGGGAGGTTTGGATGCCTTGCAACTGATGCTCTCTGGTAGATCGACCTCCTCTTTTATACATCATCATCCACCTTGTTTGTTGATTTGGTTTGCAAAACTGTGTCAGTCAAAGCAAAGAAACGGTTTTTGGGCAAACAAAAATTCGCAACTTTCTTGGTTTTTTCACAATTGTTTAAACAATAGTAAGATGCTTGTGAGGTACAATAGTGTATATGAATTTTGCAGATGGTCTAAGACTCGATAGATATATTTTATTATTTTTAACAACCGTGGAGTTACGAGAACTTGCAACTCGAACTATTCAGCTATCAAAAAAAATCTGTAATCTTGCCAAACATTTTTAGCAATGAAATTCTATTGTGAATTTTCAGGTCTAGCTGATCAATGAAAAATTGCCATTTTATTGATGATCAAAGGACAGAAATGAGATATCCTTATTCATAAGTTATTCAAAACACAACCGAGAGCATTAAGTATTTATTCGTCAAGGCTTTTCTTGGTCCTCAAAAGTTGCGTTCTCATTGAAATCCATTAGTACAAAAACCGAACTCTGGGAAACCCGCAAAAGCCCCAAAAGGAAAATTTAGCAACCGGCAAAATACTCGTAAGCAAAAACTTTTCAGCCCAAAAAAAAAAGTGAATGTGGTGTGTGGGGAAAATTCAAAAAGCTGTTGCTATGGATACTAAACACTTACACACTAACACACACACACACACATATGTGCGTGTGATGAGGAAAATATTAAAAGAAAAAGGAAAAAACCAAAAGCCGAAAACAACAGCCACGATGATTTCCATAACAAAAGAGGCGTCGTCGTGAGGCGGTGCCTAGAAAATTTGGAACACCAAAACCACTGAGCAAACAACCAGATCCAACTCCATTCGAGTGAAACTCTTGAGTTGCTATAACCGCAATTAATTATCGTCTCAAAAAGTAAAGCATAGTTTTGCGAAGTGACAGTAAACGACAAAGCCCTTGGATATGCATGAAATATTTCGAAAGATTATACAGTCATTGTAAAAGACATCTAAGACTTTCGGCCAAAATATAATAACATATTTTTTGTCAAATTTTTAAAATGCTTTACAAAGACATTTTATATTTTATGAATATATCATAAAATTTAAAGAAATTTGTAATTTAATTTTACTTATTAACAAAAATCAAGTCAAGCTTTTTCGCTTTCATTGGCTTATTAATAGGAAAAGATCTTAGAAATAAAACAAAAATCATATCTTCAGGCGATAGAATCCATTCCTCCATTGGAGCAAAACGCAGACCATGTCCTCAATAATATTGGCTTATACAATTTGCCTGATAAAGCCATAAACCATAAACCAGGATATATACTGTATATTTGTTATTGATTTTTATTGAGACATTTGCAAAAATAATGTCTATGATGCTGTAGAAGGAGGAGAAGGATATATCCACTCCGAAGGCAACAAACTCCCTCGACTTGTCGAATGATGAGCGGCATTAATAAATCAATAGCGTTTTGATGGCAAATAATTCGAGATTTGATCCGGGTATGCAGCCATACGCATTGGGACATCGTTGCTCAACACCCTGTGTATCCTTTTGGCCCATCTTCTTCTTCACCACCGACCTTTGCCCTCTCTCTTGGTCATACAATTGTGGGTGTGCCAGAGAGCGTGTGTGTGTGTGTGTGTGTGTGTGTGTTTGGGCCTTGATAAGCAACTTTCAATCGCCAAGGGCGGGGCACTTAGAGAAAATAAATGTCCCTGCATCGTGACTAATAAGGCTATAATAAGCCTAACAAAGTTTTTATCTAATGTTTGTTTTTTTCTTCTCTCCTACCTAAAAGTTAAAAAATACATTTAAATAAATAAAAAAAATACAAATAAAAGTAGAGCATTTTTTTAATGTGTGCCGTCCAAGCTGCATCCCAAAGTTGACTCCGCAAACTCGTGTCGAGTTATTTTTATTGATTGATGGGAGCAAATCCAGTTGCTGTTGCTCTGGCCAAAAAAAAAAAAAAAAAAAAAAGAAAATAATAAAAAGGAAAACAACCAACAAGCAACTGCCATTAATTTTGCAGGAAAGTCCCGCCAATGGATCAAAATGGATACACTGACTTGTTGTGGATATTGGATTGATGGAGAGGGATATCACTGACCTGCTCTTCCCCCCCAAAAAAAAAAAAACAAAAAAAAAATCAAAAATAATATAACAAAAATTAAAAACTGCTCAGTTCCCACTGAATTAATAAACAGAGCGATCCGAGACAAAGTCTGGAATTTAATTCAACTCGAAATGATTTGTTTTTTGAGAATATATTAAAATCTTATTTTAATTCTATATACTAAAAGTAGCCAGGAATGTCTTTAAATCGATATTTTCTTTAAAAAAGAAAACAATTTAAAGATTTTCTAGGTACATTCATCTATAATATTTCTTGTTAATTTACCAACAAATTAAATATAATAAAAATAAATACTGCCAGCCCTTTTATGACCATTAAATACTAAAGCCTCTTCTTGGCCCCTTGCCTTTTACATGTAAATTTCCCAAATCTGGTTTGTGCCGCCTGCTTGTTTTGGCCAATTAAATACGCAAATACGAGAAATGAAAATTCACTGGTTTGTGAGGGATGAAGAGAGAGGAAATGTGAGATCTGGACACATATGGTCTGAGAAAATTGAGAGGTGGTTGGTTGGTTGGTTGGGCAGAGGCTGAGCCAGGAATTTCGATTTATCCAGACGGCAGGCGCCATTTGGCAATCTCACTCGATTTTCAAGCCGTCAGAGAAATCTTAGACCGCCTGTGGATTCCCGTTGTTACTTTCTGCCTAATGAGCAGTTTAATTATGTACGTTGATTGATTGATTCTAATTGATGGAAAGCCAACAGCAGCAGCAGCAGTAACAGAAACAGCAGCCACATTTAACACAGCTTATGACTGAGGCGAATCCAAAGTTTGTGGCCAGACATTAAAGTTAAACTGTAGAGACCTCTAAATATACAGCTAAATGTTTAGCCATGTTTGCACTTTTGTTTCCTTTGCTTTCGCAGGACAAAAATTGTAAAAATAAAACAAAAGCAAAAAATAATCCAAAAACATTAGATATTCCGCGAGGTTGGAACTGTTGAGAGTGGCAGCTAAATATTTAAATAATTTCTTCACAGTAGTTTATAAGTCTTAACCAGCAACTTTTCCAGTTTAAAATAAACTAGAATGTATTTTTAAATTTTTAGTGTTTATAAGAAGTTTTTGCTAGCCAAGTTTAAAAGAGGATTATTATTTATTACTAAAACTTTTTTAATATCAAACATAAAGAATATTTAAGGCTTTTATTAACAGATTTTTAGCTCTTTTAGACAATGTTAAGTTATGTTTTTAATGCCATCTGTTGGTATTTTTTAAAACTAATAATGAAATCTATTTGAAACTTTCATATGGAATTAAATATTTTCTAGGCAAATATTTAAAGAGCACAAATTATTTAAAAGAAGTCTTAAACAATGATCAAACATATGTGTTACGTATGAAATGTTCTTTTCTTCCAAAGTTCTAAACAAAGTTCACGTTCAATGACGTTAAACATGATTTAGCTTACGTTCTTAACACAAATTTTAATCATACTACAAATTGGCAGATGTTCCCTAGAATATAATAAAATTTAATCAATGAATCGTAAAACAAATAAATAATCGTTGAATGAAGATGAATCGCGCGAGTAAGACATGTATAGTAAATAGAGAGTGCGGCGGGCAACGGGGGATATATATATTTTTTTTTTTAGCGCGTGTTTGCCTTAAAAATTGGAAGTTTAAGCTAAACAAATAATTGGCATTTGTGCAAATAGCTAGCTGTTGGTTTATGAGTGTCACCAAAAGAGCAAAAAAAAAAAAAAAAATAAAAATAAAAATAATAATAATAATGAACTGGATTTGTTCTAACGTATGTTGTTTTGTGACCATTGTTAGGCCTCAATGACGCGAATAACGACCACAGGCACCTATAAATAGGGTCGTTGGCGGCTGTTTAAGATCATCCAGTCTTTTGCAAAACATCGACTCAACATGAAGCTCCATTGGCTTTTATTGGCTGTTGTCCTGATCTGTGCCTTGAGCTATACCAGCTCCAGTACCACCACCAGCACGGAGACTACTACCACTACCACCACTGAATCTGGCTCCACGACCACCACCACCGCATCCGCCTCATCATCTTCCTCGGACACCACCGAGGCCAGCAGCAGCAGCAGCGATACGGCAACCTCTTCATCGTCCAGTTCCACTTCAACTTCTTCAGCCAAAAAGAAGGCCGCTGCCAAAAGGCGTGCTGCCAGAAGGAAGCGTGCCGCCAGAAGGAGGCGTGCCGCTGCCAGAAGGAAGCGTGCCGCTGCCAGAAGGCGCAACAGGGGTTAAACCAGAGGATCCACAACAACAGGACTCAATCAAGAATCGATTTTTTTTTTTCAACCTTCTCTCTTGATCCTTCTAGAGGAAAAAATATAATCCTGACTATGGTATAAAATTGCATACAAAAAATATTTACAAGTGTTTGAAATTATTTTAGGAGAAAGAAAATATTCTCTATGAAATGCAGCTTAACTTTTCAGATCAGATCAGATCAGATTTTCCCAAATAAAAACCAAACTAAGACTTTTCCGCAAGACAATACAAAAACAATAAGCGAGACAGAAGCGAGCAGGGCAACTGGCATTTAACGGCGCATTTGGAGTGCACTGAATCGGTTAGCTTGATTACTTTTGCTTTTTTGTGGCGCCAAGGGTGAAAGGTTAAAGTTACGCCCAAAAATATACTCATACCCCTCATTCACATGGCTACCTCAATAAAAAAAAAAAGCAACAAGTTAAAAGACCACGCAAGCAAAAAAGCAAAACCCATCAAGATCCCCACCATTCCAGGTTCATTCCCATTTGCAATTCTCATTCCCATTCCCATTTCGAATTCAAATATGGGAGCGGGGGGGAGAGACCTCGACCTCGACCACCGAAACCCATCAGAAATTACAGCGCATAAAAATGGTTATAACCAAAGAATTATGACTATGACGAATATAGGAGAACTCTATTAAAGTAATCAAATATGAACCTACAAGTTCCTTGGATTCCGCGGCTGATCACTAGATTAAATCAAAAGATTTTTTCCCCCAATCTTGAGAATTGGAATTTAAACTTGAATATTTGGCATATCTTTCGAGTTTCTATAATTCGAATATATCCTTGAAAAGAGAAAGGGTATGTGAATATGGAAAACAATAACAAGCAGCTAACGCAGTACAATGGGCACAACTGTTGCTGTTCTTGTTCTCCTTTTTGACCTTTCTCCGTTTTCTTCTCACACTTCCACCTTTTTCTTTCTTCACTGCAAACTTATAAGATGTGTTTTGAGTGTGTGTGTGTGTATGTGTGTGTGACAGAGACAGTTTGCGGTGGATGAGCGTGAAAATGGCATTCGTCTTTAGACAAAGAAAGCGACATTAGAAAGAGATGGCAATGGAGTGAAAGAAGAAGAAGACACAACATAACAAAGAAGCATATTACTATCATATGTGTGTTAAAGAGAGAAGGGACGAGGTAAGTTTGCGGGAATACAGGGCGTATGAATTCGTTTTCTAGATTCATTTCGATCGTTTTAGATCTGCAAATCTAAAGAGAAGGTTTTTTTTTATAACCCAAAATGAACCAAAAATTTTGGTATCTAAAAAAAATAACATTGCATACTTTGTGGCAACTTAAAAATGCTTTTTATAGTTTTCAAAACTATAAACAGACTTTAGAAACCCTTAACTTTCCCTCCAATTAAAGCATAAGGACGCCCAAGGACTTTGATGTGTTTTCTTAGTTTATACACATCCTTCCTCATTTTCCCCCCAGGGGACACCCTGTACTTGTGTATATTGATATGCTGCGCTTTGTGGCCATTGATGTTGATATGCTCGACGTGACTTATATTATATGTACATACGCACCATGCACACGAATAATACGAATAAATGTTTTTTGCCCATAAACGAAACAACCCACCCACCCACAGAAAGGCAGGGCTTTATGGTTGAATGAAAGAGACGGCAAATACAATTACGGCTTGTTTGTTCTTGTCAATTTTGGATGTATTTTCTTCTTTCTTTTTTTTTTTTTTATACATATTTCTCATGGTGGTTTTTTTGTATGCGGTCTTTGTATTGTTATTGTAACAACGCCCACAATTCTTGGGGAAATTTCAGCTTACTGCTTATTATTTTGCAAAATACTTGAGGCCATCACATTGAGAGCGCGAGCCCACGAGAAATTTGAAAACACTATACATAAGCTTCTTGGATATGTTGGGTAATTTTGCGAATTTTTCGACTTTGTACTCTGTCAGTCTGTTTTTCTGGCCATACAATGGCTGCCAGCTGTGAGGCTTAAATTTGAGAGTTTTGACACGAGTGACAAGTGTGCCTTAGTGGGGGTACGGGACAATATAAAATAAAAATTTGAAAAAGGCGGCGGCGGGGGGCTTAAATCAACAAGTGTGTGGATGGTATAGATAATTCCCAAAGCCAACTGAATACCTTCAACAGCTCTTTCTCTATCAAAATTTAGGTTGATCATATAAGCAAAAAAAGTAAATAAATAAATAAAAGATTTCAGCTTAAAAATTATTGACATATGATGGTAAATAACTTAAAAAGCATAAAGAAATGCTTTTTATATATAATATGAAGTAAAATTTCTGTTCGAAAGACTAATTTTATATTTAAGAAATCCATTCAGTACACCCTCTTAAAGGTATTTACTTATTTTTCTTGTAATTTCCTAAACTACCACTAAAATCAAGTCAAGCTCAAGGACATTTGGAATGGCTAACCGACTTAAGTCCAGTTATGTCAAGTTTAGTTACACTTGAGGCTGATTAAAGTCGGCCAATAAAAAGGTCCTGCGAGAAACAATTAGTTTAGCATGACCCCCTCCCACCTTCTCCCTTCTACCCTCATCTTTTGGGCAAATTGCCTTTGCCTAATTTGGTTTTTCTCTTCTTCTTTTCTTCTCTTGGCTATGGCTCGCCTTCTGAATTCGTATGCAAAGGGCGCATAAATTTAATCAGTTAGTAGAATGTTGTTTTTCTTTCGGTTTCGTTCAGTTCGTCCTTCAGCTTTTTGCTTTTTTTTTTTTTTTTTGCCAACCTTAAGGGGGCGTTCTGTGGTGGGCGTGGTCGCCGGGTCGTAGGTGTGGTCGAAGCCCTGCGTGTTGGCCAAGACAGAAAACAGACACACGGACACGACATCGGCATCTGGGAACTGCGACAACAACAAAAAACTTATCTTTGAAATATAAAAAAAAAATATTTAATTAATTCATTGAAAATAAAAATATGTAAATATATTAAATATTAATACCTAAACTTATTTATAATAATAATAATTTTAATTTAAAAAAGAGCCGAAATTCCTCTCAGTGCAGGATCAGAGCCCGCATGTGGTGTACATGCCAGCGCAGACAGGCAAAAGGACACGCAGACAGACAAATAGACAGATAGACAGACAGGCGGAAATGGGATGAGGCAAAAAAAAGAAAAGAAGTGGAGGATAGAGAATGGATAGAGAGAAATTCTTTTTAAGTTTTCTTTGATTTTTGGGAATTTTCAATACCCTTCAGTAAGACCAAAAATAAAGTTTTACAGACCATAAGAAATTTAATGAAAAAGAAAAATAAAACTTAAATAAACAAAAGCTTAAGGAAAAATTCACTTTATTTTCGATTTACAATCAAAATATCAAATTTTTCCAGGATAATCTAACCTTGATACGATGCTAGAGACTTTAGGCTTTTTTGCTAGGACTTTCTTTTGGATTTTTCCTCTCAGCCTGTTTTGGCCTGTTGTTTTGCTAGCATTGCCTTTGCCATTTCCTGAATGTGCTAAACCAATAAAGCAACTTTTGACATGTCTGCCGGCTGTTTGAATTGCGTCCTAATTGTGCCACTCAGTGAGTGTGTGTGTGTGTGTGTGTGTGTGTGTGCGTATGTCTCTATAACCTTTCTTCTTTCTTCTTTTTCGTTTTTTTGATGAAAATAAACATACACCCACTGAGATTTTCATTTGAGCCTTGGAAAACTGTCACCAAAAATTCGAATTTCTACGTAAGGTGACTCCAATTATACTGGCATTTTCAATCGATGTCAATCAATCAATCAATTAGCCACACGCCTCCTCTATGCATCAATCAAATCCAGACCCAGAAAACACACGAAAAGCCGGCTCCAATTCAATAAGGATCAATTTTCTAAGCTATCCACACTGACTTTCACTGCCATTTAATATGGCCAAAATGGCATGACCAAAAAAATTTCCGCAAAAAAACAAAAAGAAAAAAAAAATAGATGTTGAATAACTTTCAGCTGAGCTAATTATTACCGCCGAGTTGCAAAAACCCCCTTTCAGCCATCTCATCTACTCAGCATCATAATCATCTTCTCCCTCAGTCAACATCATCAATCTTTCGGTTTCCCCAGCAATTTGACAGCGATTGCGACATTTACAACTGTTCATCATCAGTGGATTTAGCCTCGGCTAATCTCCGCTAGAAATTCTGAAGAATTCATATAAAAACGATTCACGGAGGCTCTCAGAATTATGGAGATTTTAAGGTATATATTTTCGGAAAACCAAAGATAATAATCAAAGAAGATTTATTTGATTGAATTTGAAATTTAAATATGATTTATCTTAGAATTACCATCTTAAACTGATATCTCAGTAAGTAGTTTTCTAGGTTTTACATTAACTAACTAAATCGAAATAAAGCCTGAGAAATATGTTTAACCGTAAGAAAGAAATTTTTCCCGGCAATAAACGAATGCAAGCCCATTAATTGCAGCTCCCCCCGTCAATTGTTTTTCACTCGAGACTTTTCCAGGCACTGTTTCTTTGCACGTCGATGCAGGGTCAGGGGGCTAGGTCATGCAGTGAATGAGTTGACAGGTGGGCGTGGCTCCCAGGGATCAGGAGTTCAGCTGGCTCCCTTCAACAACACCACAACATGACCGCCAAACCCGGAAAACATAAACGATTGAAGGATAATGTTGGTTTATTTTTGTTTTTCTTTTTTTTTTTGCTTCTTCTGATGCTCGCAATTTTATAGACAAGACCGCAGAACAGTGTGACAAGGAGACAGCAACAGCAGCATTTTCCTGCTTTTCTGAATTTCCACACTAACAAAGTTCTCCCTCTCTCTCTTTTGTTGGCATAAGAACTAAATTGGGTGTACAAAAACCATGACAAACTGGTAATTTGGTTAAGTAATTAAATACTTGTAATTAAATCGATTTCAATGAACAATTACAAAGATTAAACAAATTTAAATCAAATGAATAAAAACTGCTCCTTTTACTTTCTTTCATTTTTTGTAAAGGTTAAAGGTAAGTAACATCTTCTAGTATGGGACAAAAATTGCGTTTTTTCGCAGTCAATTTTCACAGTGGAAATGCAGATTATAAAACAAGCTCAATGCGGAGTTAGGACATTCCTTATTTTAAAGGCTTTTTAAGGACCTACTCAACGGGGTATTTTTTTAAGAAAAATTGATGATATTTATGATATTATGATATTGGCAATAAAAATTATTGGAAAATATTATTTGCATAAATTTTCCTTTCTCTTAAACTTATAAGAATTAACCTTGGAAATACCTGCATGCCAAGTCTTTTGCCCTTTGGAAATCCACGCCAGCTAATGATGATAATTATTATTGAATTATTCTATTAACCGAGCCCCAAGGACTTCGTTAAGTGAGCAAATTGACCCTGAATGAATAATTAATTTGTTTAAATAACCTCGAACGTCGGCTCTTTGATATTGATTTTACATTATTTACTTTAAATTATTTAATTTAAATAATTAATGCCGCTTAATATGCTGTTAAATATAATGTAATGGCTTGGTTGATTTACGATTTCCTAATTGGGTTAAGCAAACTGGGCATTTTTTGGTCAATAATTTAAAATTATCACCTGCCCCGACCACAACATTTTCCACCCAACATTTTCTATTTTAGTACAAAAGCCCACACACACACACACAGGTAAAACAATTTCCATCTTTTTGTTGTATTTTTTGTATACCTAAGGTAAACCACATTTGTTTGTGGCTGGCTGGAAAATCAATAGCCCAAGCCTCACCCTTTTTACCCTCTATTAATAGATCGAGCTGATGCGAACTGCTCTCTTCTGGCCCCATATTTCTATGGCCAGGTTTTTGTTTTTTTTTTTTTTTGGGGTCGAAATTAATGGGCTTTTCCAACCATTTTCCAACATTCACATCTACTACCTCCTCTGCTGGCAAAACGAAACACAATTAAAACGGCTTATGGTCTGCATTTTTAGGGATTTTACCAAGTAACTAGGTCTCCACATACCACCAATTGATGGATGCTGGCAACATTTTCAAGTGGATGCATCATCATTATCAAAGTCGAAAGGCAAATGCATTTGAAGCTGTGGAGCTCTTGAAATGTATTTTTCTATTAAATAAATCTCTACGGAAATCTGGGTGAAAGTTCAAAACTCACAAAAAGGTCAAAACGTGTACGTATGAGTTTTGAAGGCAAAACAGGGAAACAAAAATGTTTTTATAATCAAATATTTTAAGAAATATAACGTTTTCGTTTTTTATAAAATATATTTAAAACTCTATAGGAAAAGTAGTAAATAAAAGTTATTCCCTTTTAAGTAATTATTTATTTTTGAGTGCCTGCAAACTATGCCTGACCTTCCATAAATAATTTTTGTTTTTTTGTCCGTTGCCATACAAATGTTACCCCTAATTCCACAAGCTGGCACACCCTTTTTTAGCCATTAAAAATTATATTATCTTTTTTTTTTCTTTTTTTTGAACTGAAAGAAATGCGAGTTGTATTCCAGTTTTTTTAACCACACAAATTGGCCATTTTGATGGAGCAAATTATGGGCATGTTCTGACTCTGACTTGGCTTCATCAGAATGTTGCTGAATCTTGTCTCCCAGAGGCAGCCACAAATGTTCTGAAAATCTCAATAAAAATGCCAACAAATGCACTTTGAAATAAAAATTTAAGAAAATATATAGAAGTAGATAGTAGTAGTACTTTTTAAACAAGCTATAAGTTAAATGAGAACTTTAAGTAACAATAAGTTCATCTTTCTCATAAATATTTTTTCACAAACTTTGATAATAAGTTTTTTCTTCGAGTGCAGCTTTTACGTATGTGAAAAGCCAGCGTTGAAATGTTTGGGGAAAATGAAAATGGAGTCGGAGATCCTGTCCGGGCATACAAATGGCTTCATTTGACGAACTGCCGAATTCGCCATTTGCATGCGTGTCTAAATGTGAACAAATTTTCCTGGGGATCGGCTAAAAGGGCAGTGTGAGTGAGTGAGTGGTGGCCCTGAGCTGCCCTGAGTTCATCCAACAAAAACCACATTCGGAGTGCTTGTTTTTATTTGCCCAAGTAAAGTGCTGTATATATAAATTTTTTTTATATTATTTTTTATGGGTAATCCAATTGCTTTCATTGCGCTTTAGCAGCAAAAATCAGAGGAAATATTATGAAATATAACATCCAAACGACACTCTTAAATTAATTCTATATAAAAACTCCAAAAAAAAATAAATAAAAAAGGAATTCCTTAAAGTACTTAAGCTCATAAGCTGAATAAAATGGCCAGCTGGCGAAATATTTTCTGCTTATCCGCACTGATTAAGTTCGAAATCAATTTCCTAATCTTTTAAAGAATATAACCTCTAGCCCCGCCCATTTTCTTAGCACGCCTTTTGTCTATATATATACATATATATTTGTATATATGTTCTATGTATATATATATATATCTATATTCCAGCATGTTGATGTCGTAAAGTTGGTCGAGTTCTGTCCAAGGACGCATGCTTGGCTTCATAAAAATAGTTGTAAATTCCCAAGCAGTCTGCATAAATTTAGTGCGAATCCCGGAATCCCCCGCCCTATATACAACCTATATATATCCTATATATATCGTGTATATATATATATCCCCTCCATCTCCTTTGTCAGTAACTTTCACACGTCGTTTCATTTCTGGGCAGCAGTAAAAAGTGACGCAACTTTGG